CCGTACCGCTTTCTACTTTCGTCAGGACGCTGGACCGCTCGCCCGCGGCTGTAATAGCCCGCCGCCTCGCCCAAGAGTCGCAACGCCTGTTACGTCGCAGTACCCCCACCTCAGTTCCCATGCGTCTTCGAACCGCCCTCGCCGGGGCACTCCGTCACACCTCCCGTACTATCTATGCGGCACTCGCCGCAGCCTCGAACGACGGGTACTCCCGTCGACCTACCGCAACGGCTACCGCAGTGCCCGTCGTTCCTGCAAGCCCACCTACACAACCGTGCATTCGGAAATCTGCGTCGCCCCCTGTACCGGCGACCTCGCGCGCTGCGTCCCCGATCCCTATGCATACTACTGCCCCGGCCTTGGACGCCGCCCCCGCTGCGCCCCTCTGCAGCCCAGGGCCGGCACCAGATGCCAGCATGCCCGACAAAACTACCAAGGTCCGTGCCACGAGACGCTCGCCCGCCGACGCCGTCACCTCTCAGCCCCCGCCGCCTCCAACCGCTGTCACCGAGCCCCCCGTTCCCGCCACCACTCCCCCGCCAAGTTTATACCGCCTGGCGCCCCTGAGTACCACCCCAACCGCCACTGTAGCTCCCCTCCCCACATCGGTCAATGAAAGTGACCTCCACCCCGCCCAGCCCAACAATGCCGCTCCGTCGCCCGAACACTCGCCTCCTGCTCCTCAAAGCGCACACCATGCACCTCATCCTCTCCACTGGCCCCCTGTCTCGGCTCTTAACGGCCCGCCCCGCATCAAAAGAGCTCTGTCCACTAGCGCATCAGTCCCCCCTCCCAAGCGCGCCTCTCCCTCTCAGGAGGCCGCAGCACTCTCTCCCCTGGACCAATGATCTCAGATAGCCCCACCGCCGACCCCTTGGCCCCCTCTCACAGCGCTTCCCTTCCACCATCCATGACAGATACATTCTCGCCCTCCCCTGAAAACCGACCATTCCCCCTCCCGGACGCCTCACCCCTCCCCTTGCCGTCAGTCCACGAACTCCTTTCGACCCCGATCCGGCCCTCGGACATTCTCACTTCTATCCCTGGCCCTTGCCTGCATAGCACGGTTCTACTTCTAATTCGCCTCGTGCGCGCTGCCACAGCAGCTAACACCTCCGACGCCACTCATCAAGCATTTATGCGCCTTCACATGCTGCCTACTGTTGTGCTCCGAAAAGCTTTCCGTGGAGAGCCCGGATGGCGTTCCTCGCCCGGTCAAATGCACGCCCTCCGTCTCCGCCTACGTAGGGCAGGCACAGGTCGCGAATGGGGTACCTTGTGGCGAGAAGCCCTTCATGCTCACGAAGCACGGCGGGCATGGCAGCACACACACTCCAAGCTCCCTTCGCCCCACAGCTCTCGCGCCGCGCAAGCCGCTCGCGCCATGCGGCTAGCCTCCCAAGCCCAGTACGGGCGGGCGATGCGCACGTTCACCAACCCTCCTCTCGCCAACCTCAACGACACGGCCACGGGTGCAGCACTGCAAGCCCTTCACCCCGACCCTCCTGTCCCCGTCATGCCTCTGCCGCCCTCCGCACAACCACGGCCGCCAGAGGTCTCGGAGCAATCCGTTCTCCGTGCCGTCAGGCGCCTCAATCCCAACTCAGCCGCCGGTCCAGACCGCATGTCGCCCAAGCTCCTGCACCTCCTTGCCCACACACAAATTAGTCCCGAAGCAGGAGTGACCGGCATCTCCGCGCTCACAAATATCGTCAGCCGCCTGGCCCGTGGTTCCCTTTCGCCCTGCACCATCCCCATTGTCAGTGCCGCAACTCTGCTGCCCCCACAGCCACGCCCGGCCAAAATTCGCCCAATTGCAATTGGACAAAGCATCCGTCGACTCGTCACGAAAGTCCTCCTTCCAGCCGCAATTGAGGATTGCCGTGACCACTTCGCTCCTGAACAATTAGCCAATGGTGTTCCGAACGGCATGGACGCTATCGTACACAACGCCCGGATGCTACTTCGTCGGCATGGAAGGGACCCACACTACGTCATGGTGTCAATTGACGCCTCCAATGCCTTCAACCGTTTCTCCCGCCAGAAAGTGCTGGACCAGCTCCCAACCAGAGCACCCTCCCTGTCCCGCTTTCTTGACATGGTTTATGCACGCACCACCTCCCCCCTGATACTGCCCTCGTCCCCGCCCACCATGCTAGTCAGTCGAGAAGGGTCGCAACAGGGAGACCCTGCGAGCATGCTCCTCTTCTCTCTCGCTCTTCAGCCTCTCGCCCGCCGCATCTCGCACGAATGTGACGTTCTTATGAACCGCTGGTCTGCAGATGACGGTACCATCATCGGCCGTATCGATGAAGTTGCCAAAGCTCTTAAAATCCTCAACACAGAAGGACCAACCCACCAGTTCTTCCTCAACCCAGCTAAGACACGTGTCTTTTGGCCCAGCATCTCCCCAGACCTCCTGCTTCCTCTCACCACTGTTGCCCCTTTGCACGTCATCGAAGACGGCGGGTTGGAACTCCTCGGGGCCCCTATTGGGTCTGACTCGTTCATGACGCAGTACATCACCCGCAAACTGCAAAACTGCAATTCCGCCCTCGCCCACCTGGACCACATCCCAGAGGCCCGCGTACGCTTTCACTTACACCGGGTCTCCGCTTCCGCCTGTCGCATGCAGCATCTGTTCCGGCTGGTACCCCCGACCTTCGCCTTTTCGTTCGCACAGCAATTTGATAGAGATCAGCTGAAGGCATACGAGCGCTTCAATAGTGTTACTCTTTCACCGAGCCTGGCTGCTCAAGTCCGATTGCCGTTCGTTCATGGGGGACATGGCCTCACATCATTGGCCAATACTTCACACGCCTCTTACGCTGCAAGTCTCATCGACTCCGCCCCGGTACGACTAAAGGGGCCCCAGTTTCCCAACCTCAGGCAATACCAGCGCTTTGCACGAACATCATTGAGGGTGGTTCTCGGCAATTTACCTCCTTCCGTACAACCACCTCACTTCTCCCTTACATCCTCGGATCTTGGCTGCCTCGAACCTACCGCACTTCTAGCGCGTCCTGAACGCATACATACCTTTTTACTTCAGGCGCAGCATAGCGCAGCGGCCAGCTGGTTCTGGGAGAAACCCCTTTGGCAATCCTCTCCCGACCCTCGTCAGCACAGTGCAGCTTCAATTCGTCGGAGGGTACGGTTTCGCTCTCCCCTCGCTCCTGGCGCGACATCTTTCCTCACTGCCCACGCAGCTGCCATCTCCCGCATTCATAACGCCACCTGGTCAACCATGCTACGCCGTTATCTGGACGCTCGTATCACATTCGATTCTATCTCGCCATTGCGCTTCGCACATTGTTCCAAGCCACTCGACCCTCGAGGGGATCACGCGACCATCTGTAGCCATGGATTCGGACTTGTCCACAGACGCAATACCGTCCGAAATATCTTCGCACAACACGTGTTCCGTGGGGCTGGACTTGCATATTCCCTCGAGGTCCCTTTCCTGTTACCAAACTCTGCTGCACGACCGGCCGATATCCTCGTTCAACCGTCCCCCCCTGCCCCAGGGCTCCCTTGTGACAAACCTACGGCCTACGACGTCACAATCTGCAGTCCATTCCGCAGGGGCATGATGTATCCCGCTGCCCGCCAATCTGCGGGAGCTGCAGAAGCAGCTGACGTTCGCAAGCGTCAGGCCCTCGAGCGGACTATTTGATCCACCCTGCTCATTGACGATCACCATCCTCCGCCACCCCTAGACTGGCACTTTCAGCCACTATCGTTTGACACTCTAGGCGCCCCCTCACAGTCTACACTGCATGTCATCCATGAACACGCGAAGCTAGTAGCACTTCGGAGCTCTTGCACCATTGCCTCCGCTCAAGCCCGCATCCACCAACGCCTGAGCTTCGCCATCTGGTCCACTGTCGCTGCTGCGATCCTTTCTCGCCTACCGACACACGTCGCGGACATCTCATATCCGATCGAAGTGTAACTCAGCTTCCTATCTGCTAGTGTATCTGTAAGCGCACCCCTGATGCATTGATAAAATTACCCCCCCCCAAAATCGAGCCCGGAGGATGGTGCGCCCATGCTGCGTTATTAGCTACCCAAGACCGAAACGACTGGCTTGTGACATTGTCACGGCCACATCAACTGCACTCACGGACTGGTTCTACAGTTCATGGGTTCCGGTACTTGCGTGCCATCTTCCACACTTACTAAATAAATCTTCTTGTCAGTGCCTTTCAAATCTCAGTACTTTCCGTACCCCAAATATGAAGAAGGTACGTCCTGACGTTTCTATCAGGGAGTCGAACCACGCCCCGCCATGCCCCGCCGGCAGCCGCGCCAAGACGACCACCGCCAGCGTCGTCACGAATGCGCCACAATTGCTCGACGCAAACCCGTGGCAGAGCATCACCAGGCCAGGCCCCAGCTCCAGCGTCACGCGGGGCTGAGCAGCCGGCACAAGCGCTCCGCGCGCGCGTTCGCCGCATAGAACAGCGTCTCGGTCGCCATACGAGCGGGCGTCCTGCGGCGGGGGAAGGCCGTTCGCCGAGCGGAGCTGCGCGGGTCGCCGGGCGCAGGTCGCCGGGCGCGAGCGGCGGTGCGTGCGCGGCGCGACGCGACGCGACGCGACGCAGCATTGGGCGCGGTGGCGGTGGCGCCGGTGCGAGGGGGCGCCGCGAGGTCTCGCTGGGGGGATCGCTACGTGGACAAGTGTGGATGACTTGTTGCCCGCAAATTGCATCGTTGCCCAAGAAAGGTAAACTTTACATGGCACTCTCCGTCTACTCTCCCAAACCCGAAGGGTAAGTTATTCACGCCGAAATAGAAAAGACGATGTTGCCCTCCACCTCCCTTCTACCTCCCTTCCACCTCGAGCGTGCCGCATGCCAGCCAGTGCCCGCACGCTATGTCTTGCTTGACATGAGGGACACCTGTGCACATGTACCAATTCAGCATTGAATCCCTGTTGGACATCCCTCCCCACATGCCTCCTGGCCAGGGGGCACTCCCTTTAACCACAATCCCTCATGCCCTGCCCCGTTCCTACGACATGGAACGCTATTCAACACAACATTGATTTACCACCGTGGGCGCGTGTCTGCACCTTGCCTCCCATCATCACGAATAATGCAGTAAAGGATGGAGATGGAAGCTCCTCGCACAACCCGCGCACAGTGTGCACCGCTGAGCCTCGCAGGGCGGTAGGGCACCCTCAAACGACAACAGTGCTCACCACGCTTTCGCTTTCAACGTCCCATGCGAGACCCGCCTACAAGCTCGCCTCCACTGCACTTTACTCGCCTTCTCGCCTCCCCACTGCCTCTACTTTACCCACCTCACCTCACCAAAACTATCCCTCACACTCCGAACGAAGCAACCCTGTCCACTTGTACACCCGTCTTCAACCGCGGCCACGCCTGTCGCCCACCCGCCCGTCGCTGTCAAATCCGCCGTCGTTCACGCCCTCCGCACACGCGCCCATCCTATCTGCGTCGCGAGGCAACCAATACTCTTGCGGTCACAAGGTCCCTCCGTGCCCGGCGCGATCATGCCGGTGACATCCGTGAATGAGGACGTCGCCGTTAGGGAGGCCGCGAGCACAAAAGCGCACCTGAGAAACACACATGTCCTTTCAATTCCCATCCTTTCAATTCCCAGCCAACCTCCACCCCGAATCCGTGCGCACCGTGCGTGCACACCTGGGTCAATGCATCACAATATCTTCAGAGTGCTGCCAGGCTACGGCGTGGCACCTCTGTCGCTTCTGTCCGAACGCTTGATGCCGCTGTGATCGTTTCTTAGTCGTCTGTCTGCGTGGATCACAAGCCTTCCCGATGGAACACTTGGTACACGTCAGGTCCGCTCGCACCCCTATATTTGTTACTCAGTGATGAAGGGAAGCAGGTCGGTAATTCATACATACACATACATGGACTGCACGTCCGTGAAGCAAGCTTCTCACGCATTCATTACAAAACAAAACAAAAAACCTTCCCCACTACTACCGTGCACAGTTGCAACGCACTACTAATGTCTCGGGCGCCAAGCGTCTATCCCTTTCCGCAACTTAGACCACTAGCTTCATGATAGCAACCAGATGACCCGACCATCCGACTGCCACCCCATGATCGTGGTCTATTTGCAAGACTGCTCGACCCTCCAACTGGGCCAAGACAGCCTCAGACCCATCCTCTCGCCTTTGCACAATTTCTCCCTTCCTTGAAAATATTTGTGATCTTCGTCCTGCGCGAGAGGCAGTCCCCAAGTCTGCTGTCCTCAGGATTCCTGAGGACCGCGTCCCGAATTCTTGGATATGAAGTGTGATCCCTCTCTCCACGTCCCACACACGCACACTCTTGTCCTCCGATCCAGATACCACACGTCTTCCGTCCCCACTAATCGCAACGATATCCACCGGACCCGTGTGTCCAACTAACGCGTCCCCGACTTGTGCTCCCGTCTTCACGTCCCACACCCGCACGCTCATGTCATGCGATCCAGATACCACACGTCTTCCGTCCCCACTAATCGCAACGCTATCCACAAGACTCGTGTGTCCAACTAACGCCTCCCCGACTTGTGCCCCTGTCTCCACGTCCCACACCCGCACGCTCATGTCACGCGATCCAGATACCACACGTCTTCTGTCTCCACTAATTTCAAGGCTAAGCACGCGATCCGTGTGTCTGACTAATGCGTCCCCGACTTGTGCTCCCGTCTCCACGTCCCACACCCGCACGCTCCCGTCATGGGATCCAGATACCACACGTCTTCCGTCCCCATTAATCACAACGCGAACCACGCGATCCGTGTGTCCAACTAACGCGTCCCCGACTTGTGCTCCCGTCTCCACGTCCCACACCCGAAGCTCAAAACATTTTTGAAAGTCGCTCTCTGTGCGTGGGAATGCTCGCGGCCACCGGCACGTTGTACCGAAGGGTACAACAGTGCAGGCGGATAATTTCAAAAAATCCAGCAGGACATAATTGTTTGCCACAGAGATCGAAAAAAGTGTGACGTTTTCGTCGGGTGGCAGGCACATGGTTCCGATCGCTTGGCATGGCGGCTTTTCAGTTCCCTCGGATCAAACATGGTTGTCTTGCACATCAGAGATCTCTGTGCAGAAGGCTAAGGCTAGTCCTTGGCCAGCCCATCATTGAAAATATTCTCGGCAGCAAATGTCTCGAACGCCTCTGCGTATTTCGGAAGCATAGCGTACCAATTCTTGTCAGTGCTTCCGCGGTGAAGGTAGGAAACTGAATTCAAAAAGGCATCCTCGGTGTGCCAACAAAATCGCGTAAACATGTGACCGACGTAGAACATTGAGGGGTTCACTCCCGGCATACGCAGCATGTGACGCAAAAGACCTTCCACGTTGAGATTGCCGACATGGCACTTGGGGCCGGGAAAGTCGGCAAAAGAGGGTTCTACTTTTCGCTTTCGTTTCGTGCATCGCTGTGCAGAGGGCTTTCCAATATTCGAATGCTTTCTCTCATCATCATCGATGGTGTCTTCTGTTTTGGCTGGGGCGCTGGTCACAGTGGCTTCAGCCGTGGAGGCTTCCTTCTTGCCTCCCGGTACAGGGCGCTTCTCTTTTTTAACCACACGACCAGTATCATGCATGCCGTACCATTCCACATACGACTCGCCCTTGTATGCCCCCTCAGTCTCTACGTCAACACCGTAATTCATAGCTATTTGCTTGCCATTGACGCCTTTGTGTAGAATCTCCCAGAAGAAGCCTTCCAACACATCTGGGTTCCGTGTCCAATCCTCTTCTGCTTTCTCTTCAAAAAGACGCAGTACGTCCTTGTTCACTCGCTTGTCATGAACCAGAGCCTTTCGCATACGCTCACTGCACGTCATCGCCCTGCTTTCGTATGCTCGCAGCGATATCGGCTCTGGCGAGTCCTGGAATGTAGCATACTCCAATAAACGACCAGATTCATCCTGAGACCACTTGCGCGAAGTTTATGGACGTAAGGACGTGATCGCGACTCGGCTTTTTTGCTCGTTTCACGAGGCGAGGATTTTCCCGAGTCAGGTCTCTCCACTAGCACGAGCTCAGGCTTTTTGTTCTGCTCTACAACTGCGGCTGATACTGAAGGCGTTGCCTTGTTGGCATGCAGCTTAACGTCGAATGCTGTATCCGTCTTGACTACTGCAACCGCAATGCCGGACGCGATACTAGAAGTAGCACCTGGGGCAACAGACGTCTCGAGGCGGGGCCCTGTGGTGCATAGCTCGCTAGATTCGCGATGCAGCATACCCCCAGGGTCGCTTGCGGAGTGTGTGGTTCATTCGGGTATTTCATTCCTTCGGACTGGCACCCGTGTACTGGAGGCTCTGCGGCTCGTCGAGCGGGCCGTCGTCCGCACGCGCGCAACCTCGCGGTAGTAGCGTAGCGCAGCAGCGGGGTGTAGTGCGGAACGCGCGCGTAGAATTCGTACACGAAGACGACCGAGTCGTCGCGCAAGTGCGGCAGGCCGCGCCGGGGGGGGGGGGGGGGGTGTTGATCGC